CAGACAGATTACCTGATAGTAAGCAATCAGCGCCGCCCATGGACACCTGCAACAGAGGAGTTACGATTGCATTGCCTACTATTTGGGGATTAGGGATTGTGGGAAGGGAATTATTGGGCCTCCGATAACCGCACTCACACAGCGAAACACAACGCTGTGGTTTTTATATGCCTGTTTTTTTCTGTGAGGCCGTGGTATCACTCCGGTCGAGCCGACTCATTCGTGCCGAAGCTTGGCTCTCCCAACTTAAATCAATAAACGAACAGAAACAATACGCAATCTCCTAAAACATATAGACACTAAAACTTCAACGAAATTTCCTGAAAAATATTCGTCCTCGAAATTACCCTAATCCCCCCACTACCCTATAACCCCCTACACTAGCTGAATGCGCCTGTAAAAACGCTCGTATATTACGAATAATATCCCGCACTATAATCTTATCCATATTTTATTGTTAGAATCTACCCCCCTTTCTCTCCCCGCGTTACCATGGCAACGCAGGGTACGCTGTACCACAAAGCTGTTACACTCGGAATATTGAGAAGATGTGGTATGCATATGTATTCATATTGTATTGATTTTATTTGATGTCTTATTATTATGAGTGTAATGTTGATTTTTACTTGTAGTGCCTGGTGGTTATACCCTTCTGAGTACTGATAGTACTGGCCTAATATGTTCCAATCTGAGTTTTTCCGAGTTACATGTGCTTTGTAAAATTGTTATGACACCACTGAAAAACGGGGAAGGAAACCTGGACTTCAAATTTCTATATAGTATGTTTTTTATTGAAATTAATTGAGAAAAGCTCTACTAGTTTCGAGTCTTCGGGTCTTCGATACATGAGCAGCAAGTCGATAATATCAATAATTTAATATGTTTCAGAATAGTAACTATAAGTTTTGGAATGTCCAATCCGCCTCGGCAGTATGTTTCATTTAGGTTTTCAATATTAATCTTACATAACAGACAAAAAAATATGAATTTCAATTTATCGTTATAAAAATATAATGTTTATAAATATCTCTAGATTATTTTAAATCGAAATTCCATGAAAAAACCAATACCAGTCTCTCAAATTTTTATTTTGACATCTTACCTGTGTCTGACATATAATTAAAAGTACCTAGCATTATTATGACAATTGTTGTCATTTAATTAAATATTTTTCCTAATCAAATAATTACTTTTTAACTTATCAAAAAAGTATATTCATTCGTAACTACAGAGTTGAAGATTTATGAAGATGTAGCTCCGATAATGTCACCTTCTCTTTTACACTTCACGATTTAAATAGAGTGTGATAAGGATAGAATTATACGTAAAATGTGGGTTGGACATTTTATTTTTACTTATTGAAAAGATTCCCTTTATATATGACCTAATTTTTTAGAGAAAAGGTTTATATTTCAAGTTAATGTCAATTAGTAAGTTAAACTTTTTCGTGAAAACACTTTTAACTTCACCTGAATTTGATCATATAATTTTATATTTCAGTTTTCATATAGCCTCAAAAACCTTTTAAACATAAAATAAGAGAAAAAACAAACCAAATTAATTATTAAAACACGATCTGGAATAAAAACACAAAATCGATTTCGGTACAAATCGAAATTCGAAACATTTACCTTATTTATTTTCGTATTTTTTATCTGGCAACACAAAACCAATAGAGAGTGCCACACAGACCGCAACAAAGTCGGTTTCCCACCTTTGTGTAGAGCGTCGCTTGTCAGACAACAATATCCGTTTACAACCGCAAGTCACAAGTGACCAGCGTTGCTCAAAGTCCACGCCAAGATATCCCGACGTACCGTATTTCGAGAGATATTACGTATAATTAGAATATAGTTCCTAGTACTTCGAAATGGTAAATAAGTGGTTTTAGGAACTCCAATTTTAAAATCTCTTTAGTGGCTTTAGTTAACTGTAATAAAACAGTTTTTTTGTATAGAATATAAAAAGACTACTCTTTTAACTATTATTGCTGGTGTGGATTAAGTTTTAGTTGAATGAACAGATTAAAAATGTGTATTTTTAATCTGTGCAATCATGATATAAAGACATTATTTTCACGTTTCTTAGAAAGAATCACGAGCGATTGCTAATGCCACTGTTTTTAAAAATCGAATTTCAATTATGATAAATTACTTCTTGACACAGGTACTTAATAAGCGTTTAAGGCCAATGAAAGACCAATTCTTATTAAGAACATAAATATAATGAATGGATATCGAGATTATGTGTGCCTCACAGAATACTGGTTACAACCCTGAAGTTGTGTTTTGCCGTGTGGCCTTACCCTCAATCCCCAAATCCCCTATCCTTAAATCCCTATTAACTCACAAAAGGCCGGCAACACACTAGAAGTCTTACTCCTTTGCTATAACGAGTGTCCATGGACCTTTTGATCAGTTTGCTCGACTTGCCGATAAAAAAATATATTGTTATAAAATCGCTTCAGCTCGTCCTTTACCATGTAAACTGTCGCTCTGTTTATAAATGTCTGTGACAGGTACCACTAGGAGTTTGGTTACAATTACATTATAATATTCAACTCAACACAAACTTGTAACTGTGAAAAATATCCCGTGAAAGTGTTGATAACGTTGTGTTTGAACTTTGAGAACAATTATAGATGTCTGCTTACTATTCGTTGGTACTTGTGTTTCAAAAGCCATAGTGTATTTTCTGCGTCTTGATAAAATGTATTTTGAAGACGGGGACACGTTTTTTTCTTAACTGTGTGGGAGCCATACTTCGCCACGACTGGGTCGGCTCAATAATACCATCGTCTCACAGAATGCTGGCGTGAGGTAACACTGATGTTGTATTTCGCCGTGTGAGTGATGTTACCGGAGGCTCAATCCTTTCCCCCATTCTTGATTCTTAATTCCCATATCCTCAAATCGCTAATAACCAACAAGAAGCCGGCAACGCACTCGTAGTAACTCCTTTGGTGCTACGAGTGTCTATGGGCGGCGTTGAGTGCTTACCATCAGGTAATCCGTCGGCTCGTAACTGAACTATGACAAAAAAATGACATAAGCAAATCTTTTCGATGCTTTAGTAACTACACATTTTGACGCGATGGCTTTGAGTGTGGTTGGATTCCCACACAAACTAAGAGAAAAGTGTCGACAATTAATCTAAGTATTCGCCTATCTTTATATATTCTATATTGAATGACTGAATTATTTAGTTCACTGAAATAAATCGAAATTCTTACGATATTTACTTGTACATAGCTCTTTTATCTGCAAAATTTTTCGCCATATTGGATTCAATACGATTTGGAAACTCGATTTGAGATATGCTGACCGCTGCTCATTTCTGAATATACTCCTTGCTCCATTTTGAAATCCTCTTCATACTTATATCGCTGAATATTTGTAGTTCTTTTTGAAAATTATACAAAAGACAGATATTTGTTGTACTGAATGAAATTTGGCACAGAGATAAATAAATTATTATCTGGAATAATGCATTATGTTTTTGGCGTCTCGAAGAGCCTTTAGATTACCACAGATGGGGTTCAGTAGGGACGATGTATACAGCCGGAGTCCGGGTTCAAGCACTACAATGTATCGAGTCCCCAAACCGGGATCAGGAGAAGGATAATGTTGGTTTTTAGTCAGGGCGGGAGAAATAATTTGATGGTTTTCTTTGCACAAACAATTGTCTGCTTTTTATTTTGGCACTGCGGGCCAAGCCGCTAATAGAAGCTATTATAATATTAATCGCATAAAACTCATAATGTATGTTTAGAAATTTTTTATCTTTCTTTATGATAAAATATTATTTATAAATACAAATTCAAAGCTTGTTTCTATATTAGAATACTTTCCTTAAATCAAAGGCGATTTGCAAAAATGAATGATTCACCCGACATCCCGGGGATTATAATTTAATTTACGACTTTCAGTTTTTAATACCCGTCCACAAAATGGCGGTTGTGATTAATAATAATTTACGCTTTTTGAATTAATTAAATTGTGTCCGCAGGTAATGATAAAGTCAGGTGGAATATAGCTAATGTTTATTTATTGATTATTTTTGAATAGATTATGTGTTTTATTATATTTAAAAATGGTTAAGTAATTCTATTTTATTTTAAAAGCAGTCTTTCATATTTCCCTTTTTCTAAGTTATCTTGTCAGACTACCTACAGCCGCTCGGTTTCACCTGCTGCTCGGTTCTTATGGCTCGTAGGGTGACGTTTTATAACCTATAGCACAAAGGAACATTGTACCTATCTATCAGTGAAATAATTTTGGAAATCCGCCCAGCGATTCCAACAATTACCCCCTACATACAAACTTACAAATATTACCTTTTTATAATATTAGTATAGGTAGATGTCCTAAAGAATCGAAGTCTTAGTTTAAGTAAATCATGTTAACAAAACGAGGCAGTCTCCATCTGTACTTTGTTAGAACTACAAAAAACTAAACAAAACAGTTTAACTCGTTTCTTTGTTTAAACAAACACAATATAAACTGGGAAATTGTTTTCTCGCAGTTTTGTTGTAGGAACAGAGTCGGGTTTTAATCTATTACTGTCTTGTTAGTTGAGTGCCTGCAAATCGAACTGCCGAATATCTTTGACTGTCTTGAGCTTCGATCTCTCGGTTGGACAAAGAATTATTTAATGTTTCGATTTCGAAAGTCTCTGTCTTTTAAAAGAGTTTTCAACGGGTTTTTTTGCGTCTTAACAAGCTGCAGCAATGATATGGCTGATAACAAAACATGTGGGGCATTTTGTAAATTATTATCTTACTTCTTACTAATATATAAGTTACGATGTTTGGATGTTTGTTACTCAATCACGCCAAAATGGTAGGACGGATCCGTATGAAATTTAGCACAGCCATAGGATACACTCCGTAATAGGATAAATGCTATTTTTTTTATCAACATACCACGCGTCTTGTCTACATCAAACAAAATCGAACTTTTTAACCATAACAACTAAAATTCATTATTCTTTGTCCACAGCACCTCCGAATGCAGTGGAGATCACGAATCACCCAGCTAACTCCAAGTTGGAGGTGAAGGAAGGCGAGGATGTCTCTCTGGAGTGCCTGGTGAAGAACGCCAAGCCAGCTGCCAGGATCGTCTGGTTCAGAGGCAATGTCGAGCTGAAAGGGGATAAAGGTAAGCACCTAATTTCTTTATCTGCATTGCTAGGATGTAGTAATTTCCTTATGGTAGGTGTTCTTAAGAGTTTCGAAAGAAAATAAACTAGATAAGTCTGGTAATCTTTGTAGAGTTAGCTGTTGGAAATTCAAGACATCTAAAGAAGACAAGTTTGGTAGAGTCATGCTACGGCACAAATGGATCAGATCGACCGAAGTGATACTACGGCCTCACAGACAAACCGGCTTAAAACAACGGTCAGTGTCGCGTTTCGCTGTGTAAGTGCGGTTACCGGAGGCCCAATGCTTCCCGTCCTCCATTCTCTAAATCTCCAAAACCCTTATTCCTTAAAGGATGGCAACGCAGTCGTAACTCCTCCGTGTGTTGCTTACCATCAGGTAATCCGTCGCCTCTTTCGCCGCCTATCAAATAGAAAAAGAGTAAATGTATTCTTATATTTCATATTCCCAAATTCGGTAATGATTAAGAGTATTTATGGAATTATTTTAATTACATAATTATGTATAATTCCATAAGTACTCCTAGTACTTACGGAATTATACATAGTTATGTTTCTGTCATAGGACTTATGAGGAAACAGAAAAGTTGTCTGTAGTCACTAACGCCTTTTCCTACATAAAAGACATGCTACTTTATGTTCAGAAACAAAAATAACTTTTTCGATAAAATAAAAGTACCTAAAGCTGCTACAAATCGCAACACTACCACTAGGGATTGGCCAGTATCGACGTGAAGATGTCGATATGTCGACAACACTCCTCTACGGGATCCGGTGGGAGTAAGATGTTTCAGTATGCTAGTGATGAAACTATTCCTGAAAATTCACTTTTCAGGAAGCTGGGGAAGCTTCTAGACAAAATTTTAGGCTATTCTTACTTTGACTTGTATTTTAGTCTAAACGTAACGAAAGGTAATGCCCCTACGATTCCAATTCTATTATACTATGATACCCATATTTTTAGGGTTAAATCCAGATCAAGAAAAAAAACAAAGAAGAGTAAATAGTATTTTAAAAGTAACTTAATATCTGTTCATATAGATATGATATGCCATTGAAATATTGCCTCTTGGCAAGGTATGCCATTGAAATTAGAAATTCAATGACCATTTGAAACTAAGACCTTATTTTTGACACTTATAGAACCTCACCAAACACAGGTAGTTAGTCATAGTCAATTGTAACGGTAATAAATACAAACGTTCTTGATAAACACAGTGACTTCGAAAACATTACACAATTTCCACTAAAAATATTCTTACCACTAAACGACACTGAAACTGAGTCGGTATGTTTTTGGAGTAGAATAAATAAAATTTTGATGAAAATTACAATAAATTTTTAACTTAGATCCGTTTTAAGATGTCTGCATAATGTTGTATACAATAACCTATAAATGCTTACTGTTGGCCAAAGGCCTCTTCTCATACGGAAAATAATTAAGTGTTGATCACCATCGTTGCTCAAGGTGGATTAGTAATTTCAAACTTATCAAAAATTACCGTTTATCAGAGATGTCTGAATGACCTAAAAACCTACATATAACTAGGAAAGAGTCAAATTGATAAGTAGTTTTGAACCCTCACCCTCATCTATAAGATGCGTCCTAACTTCCAGTAAGCCACAATGAAACAAAGATACTAAAAATTCTTATAGTAATCATATCACAATTGTATTCGTTGAACGATGAACTCGTTTTCTCTATATATATATATATCTCATTTTTACCAATCTGATCATAATGAGAATAAATATTAAACTGTATTTTATCCAACAGAAAGATAAAGTGTAGTAACAGAAGCCTAGTCAGACTAGACACCAAACTAAAATAAAGATAAAATGAGACCACTTTGTAACATCTCTGAAACAGCAAAATAAATATCGATGCTTTTAATCCAATCGGTCTGTGAAAGGATTAAAAAAAATCCAATAACGCTCCGCCATTCGCCCAGGTTTTTCCAATTAATATCAGATCAAGTATACAAAGGTATATGTACTGGGCAACTGGAATGTCCAAGAAATATTCGTAGCTCCCACTTATTGACCCGAAAAATCGCTTTTGATTTTCGATTTTTGTTTTTTGTTTTTTGTTTTTTGTTCGGGTTGGCGATGGTACAAGGATTTGGTGTGTTTTGTTTATGTGGTTGAGAATAAGGATGGGAAAGTTACTGTTGTTCTTTCATTTTTGTAGAACAGAACAGGATGCGATGTTTATCCTATTAAATATCTATATGATATTAAAAATCCATGTGTATCGATAAAACTTTATTTTTCATCGAATTTTGAGAAACAAACGCATTTTTGTTTGTATGATTATTGATTATTTAAGTAGAAATCGAGATTCAACCTTAGATTTGGATCGTGGTTATGAAAATACTGGGATTTTAAATGAGCGAAATAATAAAAATGTAATTGCCCTGTTTTATTGTATATTTTAATTTGTTGTATATTGTATCTATTTCGATTGAATAATATCACTACATAGTATTAAACAAAGTTGCTTTCTCTGTCCCTATACCCCTAAGTATACTTAAAACTACGCAACGGATTTTAATACGGGTTTTTAATATATAGGGTGATTAAAGATGACGGTTTATGTGTATAATAACATCTATTAAATAGTGGAGACATTTAGTAACTGCATTGCACACGTGTGAAGCTAAGGCTAGTGTAGTAAAATATAAATATATTTACTTGGTCTTTTGAGAAATAACTGACGTGCACTATACTTATAAAATACTTAGTTTATTCAAACCTAAGTTAAAGTACGTTTCGTATTTCGTTAAACAAAAGTTATTTAGGAATCAAACTTAGTTCTAGTTACGAACTGAAATTAGACAAAACTTTCTCAACCTGTGTATATGTTAACTTATGTAATGTGTTTATATAAGTTATGTATTTCATCGTACATACAATAAAAATAAGGGAATAAGTTTTCATAAGTAGTACTAACAGAGTTTTGGGTTGAACAAAAACAAATTCACGTTTTTGACAAGCCACAAAACTTCCACAAAAATATTACCGGCATAATAAACTTAAATTAAAATGTTTCAATGTGTAAGTAATCTTATTTATAAAACAGCTCTTTCATAGTTTTCGAATTATAAAAAATTCTGACAAAACAAAACTACATAATCTTCTGTTTATCGATAAAAAACTCGAAAACACCCCATCACTACTTCTCCCCAATAACTTACAACCACGACTCGTACAACACAGATTTAATATTAGTTTATTTATTTAATCAACTTTATCGATAATTGGGTGGCTCAACACTAATTGGCTCGCTTCATCTGCTCGATAATTAATTAAACAAGTTTTCGGTTATATCGATAGTTTCGCACTCGTTTTGCGATAAAACAATCATTAATAGTGATTGTTTTATTAATTTATTTCATGCTTTTTATTATTGCTTAACTGTTAGTAACAGGTGGTTTGTAGATTAACTTGAATTCATTAATTTTAAATATGATTTTAATGAGACAGACATAAGCTTTGTTTTAGGGTAGGTACTTACTTTTTGTCGATAGCTGTAATTTTAATTACATTGACAGAAATTACATGTAAATGAAACCTTAGCTTTATATAGTATTTTACGAATATTTGCAAGCCTTATCAGGAAAATCGGCAAATCTACTCTTGTTTTATGGGTAAGGTTGGCAAACGAGCTTTACCTGATGGTAAGCAATTGGTGCCACCCATATGGACACTCATAATAGAAAAAGAGTAACTACAATAAAGTAGCGGCATCTTGTGGGTTTTGTGATAAATACAACGTAAGTGTTGCTTCACGATGGGTTAACGCTCAGGCCGTGGCATCACTCCAATCGAGCCGACCCATTCGCGCCGTAGCATTGCTCTCCCACATTTAATATATCGTCAAATTATATAATAATCGTCACTAACCACAGCAAAGCTAACATTTTCACAATATTATATAGATTCAATCAATATCGTTCTCCAATATTCAGACTTATATAAAACGAAAAGTGACACCAACTTTCCTCCTTTCTTTCCTTATCATGCCGAAAAACATAAACCATTTTACCCAAAAAACCGCAAGGCTATCCATCTAAATTTTTTCGCATATTAAACAGAATAAAATGAAGTGTAGTGATGCCTAAGTTTACTGACAAATATTAATGAAAAAAACCTCGATATTGTGGCACGTCACTACACGCTACTGCGGGTTCCATGGCATAAAATATTAGATGTCGATATTTGTTAGTTGCATCACTAGAGATCTGGTTTGATAGGTTTACTAGATGTGGCAGTGTTTTTTAAATTTATTTAAATTTTATTGTAAAAAATGTAGATCAACTGTTTCATTTGTAAATAAATCTCATAATGTTACACATTCCTTTATAGTTTGAAGACTTTTGTAGTTCTAACACCACAAGATTAGGTATAAATTAGGTCTACTCTTTTCTATAGTTCTGTTTGACCACAAAAAATAAATTAAGATGGAAATATAATATTTTTTTATGTATAGAGGCTTGTTTAACATAATAATGATATCAGTAATGTTATCCTTTTTTATTCAATGAATAGAAAGTCAATAAGACAACATCTAAGTATATCAAGTATCAAAATGTTATCGATCACACTAACCAGTAATTTTCCATTCTTCTACCAAATAATGATCAAGTATTTACTTTTTCTCTCGAAAAAAAAAAATGTAAAGAGAATGCTTTTGACTGTAAAAACAAATATTTTGTAATACCTAGTGACGCATATCAATCAAGTATCAAAAAGGATTCTTAGAACAAATTATACTGCTTACGTAAATTCTCAAATGTTTACAATGCTTAACGTCATAGGCTTAGTTTTTACATCTGACAAACGCAACATAAAAAATTAGTTTGAATTGTGAAAGACCAAGCTTCGGCACGATTGGGACGACTGGAGTGATACCCACATAACAAGGTTTGCGTTGTTTCCCTGAGTTAGTGGGATTACTACAAACCCAAACCTTCGTCTTTGTCTCTCGGTGGTGGTCTATAGGTGGAGCCGATTACTTACGATCAGGTTATCCTCGTTTGCCATTTAAAAATGCAACCTATAACAACCTTCATAGAGTCTTATGTTGAAGAGTATAAGGTGTGCAATTATTGTAGTCAACAGAATATGTGTACATACTAATGATAGTCTGAAATGAATAGAACCAATACTATTCCTTTTTTACTGCGTATCCGTTGTTCTAGGATCTCGTTTCATCAGCCATATTGTTGACAATTAGTACGACACAGTTCTCACAGAGTATAAAATGACAGGAAAATGATATTAACGTTAATTTTGTTCTAATTAATGGAAACTGAACTTGCATTATGCATTTAGGTTCGTATTTCGAAGGAATTAATTTTAAAATGGGTTGAAAATCGACTTACTGTCTAACCAAAGGGTCGAGCTTGTTCCCGCATGCCCTCTATAGGGGATTTTTTTTTAAGTGCTTGATAATTTTTAAAATTGGAGAGATCATTATTAATTACTATTTAAAAAGCGCGTACGTTTGTTAAGTGGAATCTTGCAATTAAATTTTGAAGCAAAATATTGAATTGATTGAGTTGATATTTTCTAAACACGTTTAGTTGGCACGGTCATAAATTCGAAGCTAATAGCAAGGCCCCAGAAGTTTAAAAATTAAAAAAAAATCCTTAGTTATACTTATCAAATTTCAACTACGCACAAGCCGCATCCAGTACCATCGAACTCCGTGACACAGTTCCACCAATAATCGCATGCGACCGACATCCCTATATAACTCCGGAACCGGAGGAGGTATTGGGAAGCGTCGAGAAAAAAGTCAGACTAACCTCCCCCCCCCTCCACTCCCACTCTTGACAACGGGAAATCGTTGAAGTTTTAATTTGATCCCTTATTCGGTTTATGAAGTTACGGCTGAAGATATCTCATGCTGGAATCTCGCTTTCTACTTATAAATTTTGCGTATGTTTGTCTGTTTGTGACGTTATTTTTTAGTAATGATTTCTGTTTTGTTTTGGTATGTTTTGTTGTGATACTGATTGCCTAACTTAGATCCGAGTATAGCGTGTGAAAACAGTTTTAATTGAAGTTTTAGTTAGATGTAACTAAAGGCGGACAGTTGATACATTCACAAAAAACATACTATAGTTTTATTATTACACGCATCGCTGCGAATCCCTTTGGGTTTAAAAGTATAGTATATATTATAATGTACGAAACAATTTTAATCATCATGACCACTCCAACCAAATTCTTACATTTCAACTGTCCTAGTGTGTAAGGTGCCCGGAGGCCCAAGTCACTCCCCATCTCCAATCACAAAATTCTCATTCCTCAAATCCCTTATCTCAATAACAGATTGCTTACCATCAGGTAACAAATCAACTCGTCTGACTATCACTTAAAATAAGGCTTATTGTAGTGGAAAGTGTATTATTAAAATCTTTGTCATTTAGAACTCTTTGTACATAATATAATAGTCGGTTCACTGCAGAACAAAAGGTTTTGAGAGCGATTCTTGAGACGGGCAAGGTATTATTAAGTTTTTAAGGCGTAATATAATATAACTATGTTACTATAACTTATTGTGTGAGACGAATAGAATTGTGAAGTATCACATACAAATCTGAGAGGTTTAAGTTGTACTGAATCTGATAAAGAAAGTCATCAATAGGCACTTTTGAACGTCCAACAGAAATATCAAAAAGTTCAACTTTGTGTGTCAGTCTGTTTGGTTTGTACTCTAGTGAAGCTTTTGCTCATTCCAAAGTGTAGATTCCAATGGAGAAGAACGAGCAAGAAACTCCATGGTTACTCTTTTTAAATCAATTTCACAACTCATTTTTGTTACATTATTTAGCTGGTTCTATTATGTGAGAACAATGTAACACTAACATTCAGTCAAAGGATCGGAACAAGAAAATAACCTCAAGGATAAATATTCAGTCTCGAGATGACCGGTCCTAATTAACGGGGCCCGTTCACGAACATGACACGTACACCACCATAACAAAATAATATCCAAACTAATATTATAAACGCGTAAGTGACTGTGTCTGTCTGTCTATTCTTCACACCTAAACTACTGAATCTCTATGTGTGAAATTTGGTACAGACATAGTTTGGAACTCGAGAAAGAACATAGGATAGTTTTTAAACCAAAAATCTGCAGGAAGTCACTATTCTACGCGAACAAATTCGCGGGCAAAAGCTAGTAAGTAAAAAACCAAAATGTCTATAGTTTTGAAACTTAACTCAGCACACCCATTTTGTATTAAAACACAATTAAAAATAAGCTCTCACATCTATCTACCCTTGAGAAATAAATAGGTACGGTGGTATAATTAGAAAAAAAATGATTCCAAAAATCTACATTGGAATATTTTATTCTAGGAATGTTGAAATTGAAAAGGCTCTTTTGTGTGACCAAATAGTAAAATTATGTTTAGTTATAATATGTACTTAGTAGTTTTCAGTAATCAAATTCATTTTCTATTGAAATTTGTTCCATATATTTATATGTAGATAGGTACCTATATAAGGTTTTTACTGGAATTGATATATAGTGATAACGGTTTTAGAATTGATATATGTATACATATGTAGTGATTTAAGTATTTAATTGCTTTCTGTACTGTATGTAATGTATTTGGCCAAATGTATAGGAATATGCCATTTTGCACTGTGATAAAGTAGGTATTTTCTTTGTTTTTTTAGTATAGTGTATGTTGAAATAATATAGTATACTATATGCTGAATTTTTATTCTTTTTTTTTAAATCTACAATTCATCCAAAGGCGAAGATAAATCTAGAGACTAAGAAAACACACTATTGAATTAGTGTAACCAGTGAAGATAGTATAGTCTGTAATGGTTGTAATAAAAATAAATTAAAAAATCAAAATGATTTACATAGTTAGAATTACGAAGAATATTAAAAGTAGTACTTAATCTAAAATTAAAATATTAATCCACGAATACCTACTTACCTTTTTCAAGAAAATAAACTGAATCTAAATGTGATACAACAAATTAGCGATTCTAAGAACATCTTATTAGTTAAGTAAACTTTTGGGCAATTATATTGTAAAAAAATCTACATTCTTGGAAACCTTGGTATTTAAGTGTGGGAGAGCCATGCTTCGGTACGAATGGGTCGGCTCGACCGGAGTGATACCACGGCCTCACTGAAAACCGGCGTGAAACAACCACAGCGGTGTGTTTCGCCGTGTGAGTGAGGTTACCGGAGGCCCAATCTTTCCCCACCCCCAATCCGTCCTCAATCCTTAATTCTCCAAATCCCTAATCCCTAAAAGGTCGGCAACGCACTCGTAACTCCTCCGTTGCGGGTGTCCATGGACGGCGCTGATTACTTACCATCAGGTTATCCGTCTGCTCGTTTGCCGATCTATTAAATAATAATAAAAAACCAATATATTGCTTTACTATGTATATATGTAAATATTTGATTCTTCTGTTCTGTTCTCTAACTCGAAATAAGAGAAAGATCTGACACTCCCCTTTTGCCTTACTCTCACAGAAAACGTGAAACAACACGCAGTGTTGTATTTCACCGTGTGAGTGAGTTTATTGGAGGTCCCATCCTTCCCCTCCCACAATCCCTAAATCTCCAAAACCCTAATCCCCTAAAAGCCGGCAACGTATTCGTAACTCCTCTCTCTATAGTTGCCTTTATGGTGTCCATGATCGACACTGATTATTAACAGTTATGAAGTAATCCGTGGGCTTATTTCCGGTCCTATCACATAAAAAATTCCAGGTGGGCAAGCTCAAAGTAGTATTACATCTAGAAACCAAGTAATTTATAAAAAACACAATAATCATTTTCTCAAATCGTGATTTGAAAGTAAGACCCCCTTATTTATCAACCAAAGTTACCTACAAGCCGTTTGTAAAAAAAAAACAGAAAAATAATTCTTCAGTTTCCGCGTATCTGATTGTCAACCTTGAAGTTGAATATTTGTCAATAGAGCCCTTTTCGCTGTTCCATGTTCCCGTAACCATGGCAACGTATAAAAATATGATGAGTCGTAGAAAAGCTGTATTCGTGCCTTTCGTGCAGATAATGTAAATATAGTATGCGGAAACCTCAGCTAATATATTGAGGAAAGAAAAAACAATAAATTTATGTATGGAGAAGTAAATGAACAATGTCTCTGTGAATTACATGAGGAACAAGATTATATTGACACTGAATAAATACGTGATATAATGAAGCGAATACACCAAAAAGATTCTCTGACAAAAAAAAGTCTTTTAACCAAATTATGAATTGAATCACACCATTTTTATCATCAATGTTGAACCTAAAAGGACACTCAAATACAACAAAACCTACGCCCACACTGAAAACAGCCAGAAAGAACCTATAAATGAACACTTAAGAGAGAAAAATGTAAAAACCCTTACAAAATAGAAACCACGATTGAGCCTTAATAATAGGAATACTGAGAAAAACTTTCCCTTCATTCTGTGTTATCTTGAAAGCAATTCATACTGGTATAATGTATCACAATACGAAGATATAGATATATTATATATTGAAGATAATAGCAGCAATAATACATATACTGAAACCATCAAAGGGTCGATGCTGAAGGCTCGTTTAGTTAACTCCCTGTTCAAGTTATAAACTGAGATTGTTGTAGACGAAAAGATGAAAAAAATGTAGTTTGCAGTTGAAGAAATACTAAGCGACAAAACCTGAAGTAATCTCTTAACTCCTAATGATCATATTACCTTCTAGAAGGTTCAGAAATAAGGCAGACATCATCTCAAAGAAGGAGGTTTTGTTTAGAAGTAGATTGATACTGATATATTGAATACTGATGATTCTGATGATAGCACTAATAAGTGACAAAGACAAATATGATGATCAAGTCAGTCAGGACTAAAAATATAGGAAAGTGGATTTTGGAATGCATGCTTTCTTACCTATCATGTTATGGTTTTCATTTTATTGTATTGTTCTATTGTCAAATTATAGAAAATTCTAGGGATTAAGAGTTTTTGGAAATATTAAAACATCAAGGTCAAGGTTTTTTTGTTTAATGACACTTGTGATCATCCAACCAACAACTGGCTAAGCCACAGTCTTGAGCCCCTCTGATTTCCTTTTTATTAGGTAAACGAAGTTCCAGATATAAATATTTTTCCAAAGCCCCGCTTTCACTCCTAACATGAACTGAACAACAAGACATTTGCGAGCGTTTTGTGGTTTCAAACCGTCTATTTATTGGAGGGAAGAGTTTTTGTGGTCGTCCCAAAAGCAAGCTTATAGTAAATGGGGGCTCACGGATACTTATTAATACTTATATCGCAGGCAAAAATGTGAAGATACAATTGGAAATATCTGTGGAAAGAAATTACTTTTTTGTCGGCGAGGTAGTTTGAGATATGGATTTATTATTTGTGAATTGGAAATATAGGTCAAGGGTAATAAAAGGGAGATTGGAGTGTTTCTTGTAAATACTTTATTGGGCAGATTTGGTATAGCCAGGCAGTATGGTGCCGGTTTGTAACAAAAGACTGGCTTGATGGTCCAATGGTTTTCGTTCGTACAAGTTTTGGATTCAAACTAGCAAAATGCCCCATTATTTTAAAATTGCTTATATGAATTAACCGTATGTTAATGATAGTTGAAATCCTTAAGACATTACAATTAAAATAAAATCAGAAACCAATAATTAACAATCCGATTTCACAATAAAAGTACGAAAACTACTCCAGACGAAAACCCAACGAAGTGAGTTTGAGGGATCGGAATTTTCAATAATACGTTTTGAGATTTCGCTCGAAGACTTCCCGCTAATTAATACCTACCTACTGAAGCAGATCTGTCCAATACACGTTCGCGGCGCTCTTCGATGGTTCGGTCGCCGAAAATTTTCATTACGACTGCACAGAAGCTGGGCTGACAGATTTAAAATATTTAATTGGCTTTCGAGATCGGCACCAGTAGTGACGGGATTTATTGGGAATTAATTATTTTTGGCACTGATCCGGGAATTTGGATTGTACGAGATCGTTTTATCAAATTGAGGTGGATGGAGTTTTTAGCTTGTTTTTTTTAGTTGATTTTTATGGTGGTGCAGTGCCCATTGGTGGTAAAATTTTGAATAGATTTTAGGTAAAATATACAAAGAGAATTCTATGATACTAAATGTGTATTTATGAAATTTCTTGTTCGTTCTTCTCCATTCGAATTTTCACTTTTAGACGACATAGCTTTAGGTACTAATGATTATAATATGATTCTGTATGATTCTGTAAAAGAACCTGATAACAGTTTATTTGGAATAAATGACTTTGACTTTGATTTTGTAATAAAATAATCATTCTTTGTCAAATAGGTTCCTACTTCATAAGAATAAACTAATAAAAAGGGCTGCAGTAGTCTAAAGTTCTAGAAAATACTAGATCATTATCTTGTTAAATTAGTTTACTTAAATCCGCTCCAAGTTTGACTCTGTTCGATAAGCAAATATTATTTTTACTCTCGGCGAACAGAATGATTTCTTGTTCATGTTATCGTAGCTATCTATTAGTATAAACTCTTTTGATTTATTTAAATACGTACCCCTAATTGGAAAGATGAAAGAAAATATTATGTGTATTGGATATACCTTTCGTCCTTTTTTGTGTAAATATTGGATTTAAATTTGTCTTCTTTGTCATAGACACATTTTGCACGCACGGATGAAGTGTGTTATACATATAAATCATCTTCTTCAATCACTCTTATCTATACAAAAAACTGTAACAAAATACGTTGCGTAGTTTTAAAGATTGAAACATACGAGTACACAGTGTTATAGCGACGGAGAAAGTGACTTTGTTTTATACTATGTATTGATTCCTTCAAGTGAAACTAATATTATAAATACTAAAGTAACTGTGTCTGTTTATCTTTTCGTCACGCCTAAAACAATGAACCGATTTCTTTGAAATTCTGGTACAGACATAGTTTGGAACTCGAGAAAGGACATAGGACAGTTTTGATAGCAAAAATCAGCAGGAGGTCACTATTCCATACGAATGGAGTCGTGTGCAAAAGCTAGTAAGTTATAAATTTGCCAACATGTTAAGAACTTTCATCCACTCATCCATTCATACAAACCAACCCAAACAACTAATATGCGTAACAGACAAACAGAGTATTAATATAACAGAACACTTTATTCACATCAAAATGGCGGCGTTTCAACAAATTCGCGCGCCAGAGATCGCGCCTTACTACGTTATGACGTCACAAGTAGTGTGGACATGCGATACGCGGGATATTTCCCGTTTTTCCGTTTTTGTAGAAGGAAGTTTCGCGATGTCTTCGATGTCGGTTGTGGTGACGTAAGTGTCGAATATTTGAAATGTGTCGAGGGTTGTGCCATAGTTTTGTTTTGGTTGCGTATTTATTTATGTACAGTAAGGTAAAACAAATGTTTTAAAGTTGATTTGTTTTGAAAGATGGAGATAGAGAGGATAAAGATAGAGAATATCTATGTAGAATAATTATTATACATAAAAATATTAAGCTTAGATAAGATAGTGACAAATTTTACGAAAAAAAAATTTCATGCCTACACGAAAAAAAATCCTAAATTATAATTACGTAAATATACCCACCCTATTGTCTCGACGGGCCTCTGTCAGTTCGTAGATAGCTTAAATTACGTACAAGCGTCCCCCTGTGTGTGATCCCACCTTTACAACGGCGGAATAAAGCGCTCGCTTAAAATATGTAGTTATGTTAATGTCTGAAACTGCCTTTACAGTTTACCAGTTAGTTTTAACATTCCGTTGTCTTGTTTATATCAGAATGTTAATGACTTCTAGTTTCCCTCGGCGACTAAATTGTTCTGATTAATATACTTTTGTCTGTGTTTTGTTAAAATGGTTCAGAAGTCTCTTGTGTCAGTAATTAGTGTGGGAGAGTTATGATACCACGGCCGTATAAAAAAACTGTCGTGAAACAACCACAGCGTTTGTGTTTCGCCGTGTGAGTTAGGTTAGGTTAGCTCAGTCCATCTTAATCGGTTGATGATATTATTGGCTTCAAAATTGGTTTATAGGATTTCACTTGACAGATATTCATGCATACATATATGTACGTACATTGCAAGTGAAATTAATGCCTTTTTATAAATCAGGCATACATAAATTGTTAACTTATGTAAAAAAAACTTTTTTTGTAATCTTCTTAGAAAAGGAGTTTTTATTTAGACTTATTCGAAGGCTCTACTACTATGAAACTTATATATAGTTAAAATAAGGGTTTGTTAATTATTTATTTATAGATTATTCGTATGAATGTGAAATAATTAATAAAATATTTTCGTTGTTTCAGTGTCAAAAGAAGAGATAAGAGAAGTGGAGAGTCCAAATGGAAACCCGAAAGCGGTGCGGTATACCACGATATCCAGGTAAGAAATTAATAATTTTAATGATTAGTTTTCAAAAAGCACTTTTAAAAGCCAAGAAACTAATATACTAGCTACTCCTGCGCGGTTTCACTCGCTGCTCGGCTCCATTTGAATGTAGCGATCACGCTACAGTCATATAGGCTGTAGTGCTATAGGCTATAAAACATCAGTTATATAGCCTATATTATACTCGGGAACATTGTAGCTATCAATAAGTGAAATAATTTTGGGAATCCGACCGGTGGTTCCAAAGATTACCCCCTACATACAAACTTACAAATTTTACCTCTTTATAATATTAGTATAGATTTCATTGAAGTAAGTTTTATATATTTGTAATAAAAAAACAATATTCATACGACTACTATAAGTCACGCGGGGAAGTAGTAACGTTGAAAAATGTAATAGTATTTAATTTGGATTTCCAATATTACTCTATATAACATTTTTGCATTTACCAATAATACTTAACTTTTAACTGTGGGAGAGCCAAGCTTCGGTACGAATAGATCGGCTCGAACGTAGTGTTACCACGGCCTCACAGAAAACCAGCGTGAAACAACCACAGCGTTGTGTCTCACCGTGTGAATTAGGCTACCTCTCCCCCATTCCTTCCTAATGCTTAAATATCCAAAACCTTTATCTCTAAAAGGCTGACACCGCACTCGTGACTCCTTTGGTATTGCGGGTGTCCATGGGCGGCGCAGATTGCTTACCATCTGGTAATCTGTTCTTCTCGTTTACCTTGAAAAAACTATTGAATTCCATTCGAAACGGACTAAAATTAAACTACCAGCCCACGACAGTGCAATAACATATCAAGAATGTATCATAAAAAGCAGATTTACCGTACAAAACGATACAAGTCATAAAACAAAATGAAAACAGGAACATTTCTCGTCTTCACGAGTAATTGACATCTAGTTGCAAAACGGAGGAGGCACAAAAACTAGACCTCACTATATCGTCTGATAGTTATGACGTCACAACTGGTCTGAGATGCAGTGTGGCTAGAACGCCTTCGCTCGGAATTTAGAGATCTGTGAGACTAAGATCAAATCTATGGTAGGAACCCGTCTTTTTGTTACGACGTTGATAGAACTTCGAATTTGAATTTGGTACAATAATTGCTATCATTGTAATTGGAAGTGTGGCTGCTTTGAAGAGGGAAATCATTTCTCGACCTAGGACATAGGATGACCTATGTCCTAGGTCGAGCGAGAGGGAGTGTCAGATTCTTACTGACTAAAAAAACCACACCGTTCTTTCTTTTTTGCTCTCGCATGACCTGACTGAAATTTTGGCTAAAATCCGCAGCAAATTAATTGCGAAAAATTAACTTTAACTTCAAATGACGATCTTATAAATATAATCATCAAGTTTGTTGTAAAATATGTCTTCAGTTGTTATACCTTGCAACGGTCACAGCAACAAGCAGCTAATAACAGCATTTATAATGACATTTTAATAGCAAACATCACGTTGTTTATATCAAAATATTTGGGATGTCCCCCAAGGACCTACAACGTGACCTGTGTCAAAATTTGACAGCAATTGTCGTAGTAACAAATTAGTTTTGCGTACGGAACCTTTTCCTTTATAACAATGTTTTAGAGACAAGATATCATCATGCGGGACCCTAATTTCGTTAGAAATTCTGCGTGTGGGTTCAAATTATGGCACGATTATACCAGGATGGTTATAAGATGGTTGGTGGTTCTTTAAGTTGATTATTTTAAGGTTAAGCTGCACTTTTGGTAGACAATTCATGAATGTATATCTCCAGGACTTACTTAAAAAATATGGCGAAAATAAACTACTGTCTAATCTTTTGACAAACAGATGAATCAATATTCTATTAAATAAAACTCTATAACAATCTATACAAGTCCTTCAAGAGATTTTAGCACTAGGTATAACTTTGAAGTAAATATATTATCTAGACCGATGTAGAAGACAGCCACTCTATGCTTGATGTAAAATAAGGACAAACAAAATCAGTCAAATCTATTTAAACACCACAGTTAACCAACTGAAATTTGTAAGGTTAAGTAAATAAATTATTACCTCCGATTTAATTAAATGACCCTAATTTCACCCATTACCGTAAACATTGAAAGTAAAAGCCATAATAATTGTCTTACACTCTGCGTACCTCTTAACAAACAAAAGCGAGAAGTTAAAGGTACATTAGAATCATTAGGGTATCAATAACTGAAACTCCTGTAAACGGCAACTTCCCATTGTATACTGAAATTTGTGTAAAACAAACCTACGTTCCCTACATTTTCAGCAAACATCGAACTTGTAACGATGTGAAAAGTTTTCATGAAAATTGTTAAAATTTTCAAAACTTTTGTAACTTTTCATGCTCACGACGGCATTTGTTTGGTGAAGTGAGGTCGAAATGTTTTACATGACATACATATTATATTTTTATACATATTAACATGTGAAGTATTCTTGACTAATAATGGTTACGTAAAATACATCCAATTAGGAATAAAAAATAAATAATCAATGATCAAAAAACGTCGTGGTGACCCGGAGGTAATGAAATGGCGTGGGCGAAACCTGGCAAGTATCAATGTGACTTTTCCCGAGATGTATACTTTTTGTGATTACTTAGACGCCACTGACATACGGTAGACACTTGAGGAAGCCTCGACTTATAATTTGTAATTTCTTTTTAATCTGCTAAATATTTCAATTAGTCTGAGTCTGACACTCTCAATCATGCCCTCTCAAAATAAAATTTGACAATTCTATTAAGAAATTATATTTTACGTCATATCAAGCTAAAAACAGACAAAACCCACATGGTAAAAAACTAAAACTTTTGTAACATAGTAAAACAAAGTCATTTAAAAACACAAAAATCCGAAATAAACATTCAAATAAACCCATTTCCATTAAAAAACTAATTCCATGTACGGGCATGTATGACAGATGCCTGAAAGTTTCCTGAAACTCTGAAATTGACGTCCGCCACGCTGACAATGTAATATATTAGGTTTGTTTCAGTTCAGTTACAGTTAAATCGGTTGTCGGATTTCATTCTAGGAGTGAATGACATTCTTGAATGTAATTTAAGATATAACACCTAAAGGTATTAACACCTCCATATAAGTTCCTGATAAACTTATGTGGCATATAGTTCATACAAATTATGGTCTACAAAACAAATTGATCTGGTATATTGTTTCGTTTGACCACTATCTTACCTGATGGTAAGCGATGATGCGACCTGGGTTGGAACACACCAAGCTATATCAATACTCAACCTTGTTACTTGGACCTTAAAGACATTAAAGATACCCAGGTATCACACCTTTTTGGGGTACACAGATTTTGGCAGAAATTTTAACTCCGTAGCCTCTGAACTAGAGACGAATCGAGGTGAAGCCAAGACATGGGGGGTAAGTCAGTAAAGATTTCAACTCCCTCTCACCTAATCCTGGTCGAGAGTAACCTATCCTCCACAATCTCCCCAATCTCTAAATCCCTCAACGCACTCGCAACTTTTTTGGGTGGCCATGGGTGGCGACGATTGCTTAACGTCAGATAATGGGTCTGATCATTTGCCGTTTATCACATAAAACAATAAATTGTGTGAGAACAGCCACTACTGAAGTCCGTCGCGTCTCGAGAAAATGGCTGAATGTTCTGAAGAAGGCCTGATATTTTTAAAGAAACATGTATTTAATATAAAATAATTAAACATGAGTATAGTTTAGTGAAGTAGTCTAGTTTGTATTTGGTTACATAAGAAAAAAACAAATGACTCAAGATCGAACATGCGACATCCAGCTACACTTTTCTACTAGACTTGTAATAATAAGCTCTTTAGTATATTATTATGTTTTATTAAGTCCGCTATATTTGCTAGCACTTTCAACTACCATCCTAATTCGTTTATTATTAACAAACTGCGTTCACTTCCTGCTGAAAGTCACGTAACTGTAAATTGCTGAAATGCAGTAAATTTATTACTGGCCCAGTTATTTCCCAGCTTTGTTAAACGCGTTACAATGTAGTTTCGCAATAAAATTCTCTTTACACTTGTTATATTTATTTATTCACTTTTTTACCGACACCTTTTGTTACATTTATATTAAAAAGTAGTTTCGCTTACTCAAAAAGTAGCCTATGAGTTTTTTCAGACTATTATCTAAGTATGTTAAATTTTGTAATACATCCATTTGTGTAAATATCTACATTAAAACTTACGCTTTTATAATATCAGTGGCCCGTATTTAACTGACCGTAAATCAGCCTGTACGAAGGGCCTATGTAAAAATACTGCGATTAGAAATTATAAGTAATATATTGAAATACTTGCTGCAAAATTAATTAAAATTGATAAGTACACATCGTATGATAAAATTAAGAATACACAAAAACTTTCCAAAATTAAATAAATCAAATGACTCACTTTATCATGCAATCAGAATAAAACACATTTATATCCTTAACAGAAAATATCCGCCATGACACCCTGCATACGAACTGTCAAAACGTATTTTATTTTTTTAAATATAGAGATAGCATTCGTTTAAATTTTTCCAAATGTCAAGTTGGAAGGTAATGGCTGGTTTTTTTTGTCTACTGTTCATTTTGTATTTTTTTTTTATTCTCAAACAAGCATTGGTGTAAAACACGCCATTTTTAATGTTTCAATTTTGTGTTGTTTTTTTTTATTTTATGTTTATAATATAGTGGTGATAAATTTGTTTGATTTTTTAAATTGAAATTGAAGTTTTGTGTAGAACTGTGTTTTTATAAAAACGTACTTAGTGATTACAAAATATATTGTTAGACATATCAAATGAAAGATAACTTTTATCAAAATAACTATAACAAAAAATCTTCAAAACGTGCTAAATATTTGGCAATTAAAATACAATAAATTTTAGTTCATCAAATATGGCGCACCTATATTCTTACAATTGTGTCTCGATTTGTCACGGTTGATAGGTCAAAGGTCTGCCTATTCCTTC